GGACTAAAACTATTTGATCTTTTAATATTTAATTAATGGTTCCCCATGGCCTTTTTATAGTCTGTGCTCTATTGTGAGCAACGAGACTTTAATAAGCAGGTTCAGGACTTCCCATTGTGTAGCAAGATGTCAGTGCTTCCATGACACTAATTTGGCTTTCATACTCTTTCCCTTTCCCTCTTCACTTGCTGTAGGTTTCCCTGTGTCTTGCTTTCACACTGGGAACAAATAAATATGTTAGTTGTATTGTTATTGACTGTGTGAGCTTCTTTCTGGTCTAGAAAATAGATATCTCACAGGATGAAAGGTTTCTTGTTTTTCCCTCCAACAGTGAAATACCTTGAAGACTGTAAAATAGATGATGTTTCTTTATAAGAGTATATCATTAATCTTAATGAGATAAGACACATTCTCTTCATTTTCCAGGGAAAGACAAATTTGCTTGAACTTTAGAAATTACATCTGATTTAAAGCTGATTTTCTTACCTTATGTGTTCATTGCAGAGTAATCCCTGTCTGAATACAATGGGCCCCACAATAAATACCTGCATATATAAGTCTCCAGAAACATTCTTTTCTATTCTTCACTCATTTCGCTAAGGAGTTCATTACATGGGGAAAAATTAGCACAGACATGGGCAGTGTTTGTGTGGCAACTGGCCCCAGGCTAGTCTAGCTCAAGGAAATGCAAGGAAACAAACACATATGTTTCTGAAATTCCCTCAGTAGGTTTGCTTTGACTGAAACTATTTAGTGCTAGACTATAAGAGAAAATATTGCCCATTATGTTAACTCAGATTATATGTACATATTATCCCACCACATTTTTTTGTTTGTTTTTGTCTGCACAGTACCTTAGAACTAATTTTTCAAATTGCAAGTAGCCATTTAATTTCCAAATTCTGGTATAATGATTTTCCTTCTTTTTAATATTAGCAATAATGAGAATAATGATAAAGCCTTTTATTATTCATTGTTTACCAGTTTTTATATACAGTGTTTCATGAAATCTCTCAATTGCTCAGTTAATTATTATTATCTGTTCCATTTAACAAATGCACAAACTGATGTGTAGATTGACAAAATGACTTCCAATGGATCCTGCAGCCATAAGACAGGTTTAAAGCTTAATGTCTCAGACACAAGTCAAAGTATTTATATACTTCATTTTATGTTATTTTTGACACTAGAAGACTAAAGTTAACATATAGTAACCAAAAAATAATTAAATGGAGGAGAGTAAGATTTTCTATTTGGGTATGTGGTGTTATGCTATAGATAGTGGTTTTTATTCATGGTTTCTGGCTCATAACTCACACAGCCCCTGGTCACCTTCTCCCACCCTCTTTTCACCTGCCTCTAACTTTCTCCCACCTTCTGACTGGGAATTTTAAGTCTTCCCAGAGAGAGTCTGCCCTGTACCTGGGAGAGAGGAATGCTGATGTTACACAGCCAGCATTAAGACCCAGGAAGACTGGGTTTGGAGAGCTTCTGGATAGCTGAACAGGTGGAGGTTCCTGGAGGGTGATGTGCCCATGGAGGGCATGGAAGCTCCACGCACCTTACTCCATATTTCAGCCTATGCATCACTTCACCCATATCTCTTGCAATATCCTTTATCATAAACCCATAAAAGTGCTTCCCTGAGTTCTGTGAGCTGCTCTCACAAATCAATTGAACCCAAAGAGGGGGTCATGGGAACCTCAACTTGAAGAGAGTAGGTCAGAAGTTCTGGCGGCCAGGATTTGTGACTGCTGTCTCTGGAGGACGGGGTAGTCTTGGGGACTGAGACCTCAGACTTTGGGATCTGACACTATCTCTAGGTAAATAGTGTTGGAATTGAATTGGAGGATATCCGCCTGTTGTCTGTTGCTTGGTCAAAGGAAGAAACCCCATATTTGGGCACAGAAGTCTTCTTCTGTGCTGATGATTGTTGTGGTATGAGAACAGAGAGGAAAACTCCATTTGAGAAAGTTTTTTCATAAGTAGGGTACATTTCCCTTCTGTATTCTATAAGGGCTTGACCAGCACTTCTACCATAGATAACAACAGCACAAACGGTGAGAACATTGACAAAACTCCAAAAGCTACCAATTCATTCTGTAAATAACACACTTTATTTTTAGCATTTAACTTTTGGAAAGGTATATAGCAAAACACCTCCTTCATCCTCTATTTCCATCCATTCCATCCCTACTCATTGGGAACCACTGGTAATAGTGTCTAAATCCTTTAAGAGTTACTTTAGATATATGCAAGCAAACAAATATTTTTATTCACATAAATATGCAGTAGCATATTTTACCCCCTCTTCTGATCATTTTTCTTTCATTTGATGATATATCTAAAAATCTTCCCACACTGACACAATTTTCTTTATTCTTTTTTTTTTTTACTTTTATCATATTACATTGTATGAATGTACCCTATCATATATCTCACCAGTCCCCTACTACTAGATATTTTGGATGATTTTTCTCCCAAGTTTTGCTATCCATAGACAAGGCTGCAAAAAAACCTTTAAAGATATGTCATTTTGCACATATGCAAAAAATTTCTGTAGTATGACTTCACAGAAGTAGAAATCTGGATCAAAGGATAGATCAATTTCATTTTGATAGATTTTGCCAATTATTTTCCATAAGGAAGACAAGTAAGGTTTTAAAAAATTCTAAATTATTATATTCATCTTCACATATTTTTGGCAAAGTGCCTGGCATGAAAGCATTCAACAAAATGCTTATTTTGGGATTATTTCATTATTCTTTAACTCCACTTATAATTTTTTCTTCTGATAAGTATTAGTCTCACTACTGAGTTATATTTGTTGAGGCCAAAAATATGTGGATGCAAGAAGAGAGACAGGAAAAATAACCATGTTGAGTCATCAAAGAAAACATATTTTAGAGAACCAGTGGGCTTGGTAGAGCCATACGGTATCACAGGGAGCTGAGGTTGGGTGAAGGGAGAATTGTCATAGAATCATAGAGAACTTTCTTCCCTCCAGGGTAACCTGGAGGGTAGCCCCATCAGTGAGTTCTCTGGAAATGACTGATGTTGGTATGACCTTCTCTATAGGCAGAAGTTCAAAGTACATTTGATTGTTGTACTAGAAGTTACCGATTTCATGATACACAGGTGTCAGCAAACATGGGATGGCATATAAACTTTCTGACAACTTTTAAAGCAGCAGCAGAGGTTGATAGAGAATGATAAATAACTCAGTCTACTGGCTGACCGCCAAGCTCCACAGAAAATTTATTAAAATGATAGAATCAGAATCTCACAGTATAAGGACTGTGATAATATTTTTTTGAAGATTTGTAGGAAGCTTTGGTCATCAGCTGGGCTCAGAAAATTTTAGTTTCATCCAGTTAATTGTCTTATAGAAAAGGAAATAGATGCCCAGGAGAGAAAAATAATTGACTATAGTTACACAATTAGTACATGATAGACCTGAAATATGAACTCAAGTCACTCAACTTTAGTCAGGAACTGTCCTGTCCATTTCCTGGAGTCTTGGGCTGTGTGGGGTGAATTGACAGTGGAGAGTGGGTGGATGGAGTTAAGCAGATAACATTCTGTATCTTTCATTTTATCTGAAGCAGCTTGATTCCTTTCCAGTTTTTCATGTATGGATCTTATATATGAAAAATGGACACTGTGACCAAAATATTTCAAGCACACAAAAATGCTATAACTACCCTAGCCCTTGGAAGAAGAGGTATTTTAATGAGTCCTAGAAAGGTTAGTGTCTCTCTTTTCTTTTGTGAGAAAAGGATTGGTCTCAGGCTAAGAGGATTAGTTAGAAATGTTAGTATTTACAAGTTAAATGTTTGGTGTTAAAATCCTTTTATTCAGAGAATGTAGGGGATCTTGCAAACTACTTGTTATCTAATGCAGTCCAGCATTGGAAGTGAGGCCAGCACTGTGTTGTGGGTCTGAAAATGAAAAGTTTGGGTTTCTTGTCCCATCTGCCACTTCTAAACTGACTGAGCTTGGCAGGTACTTCCCACACGGACCTTAGTTTCCTCCTCAATACAATGAAATGGCCTAGACTAGATAATCCCTGGGTTGTAGTGACTATTAACCTTGGCTGCCTATGAGGATAATCTGGGATGCTTTAAAAAAATATTGATGTACTGATATATGGGTCCCTTCCACTAAGTTTCTGATGTAATTAATCTGGTATGCAGTCAAGTGCTAGGAATTTTAAAAGCTTCCAAGTGATTCTGATGTGGAGTAAGGTTGAGAATGAGTGCCTAGAGAGCAATGGTTAGAGTCGCCATACCAAGAGTATCACCCAGCAACTTAGAAATACAAATTCTTAGATCCCACCCAAGATCTACTGAATCAGAAACTCTGGGTATAGATCCCAGAAATCTGTGTTTTAGCACACACTTCAGGTAATTCTAATGTGCACTGAACTTTAAGGGTTGTTGAGCTAAAGAGTATATGAACTTATTCAAACAGGTGTCAATCAGTTTTTAAGCTAGAGTTAGGATCATAAGTAGGAACATTTGTTTTTGGAAGGAAAGATAAAGTGAGGTGAGGCGACAGAGTTTATCACCCAGAGTCAGCTAAACTTTATGGTCAGAACATTGGTAGAAGGCTGCCATTTTTTGTTTATTAACATGTGCTCTACAAAGAAAGGTTTAAGTTAAAAATGTATAGTTTTTTAAGTTCATAAATTGCTAAATGCTTTAAACTTCCTAATAAACATATTCTTTTGTAAAACTGGTCTTCTGAAAATGTCTGTCTTCATGTCTACGAGTAAGATTACAGAAGAGAGGATTTGAATCACTTTTTCTCAAAAAGAGCAGCTTAAATATCAGAGTTTAAGCCTAAATTCTCTAGAAGTCAGTGGCTAGAACAAACAGGCAACTACAAAACTTTTCCTGGTCAGGTTCCTGGAGGAGCTGCTGCAACATACTAACTAATCATAAGTACAAAGTAGGCTCAGTCTTCTCTAAATTAGATATTTTCTTCTTCCCATTCAGCCAGGGACCATTGAGACTGCAATGGAAGACTTGAAAGGACACATAACTGAGACTTCTGGAGAGACCATTCAAGGCTTCTGGCTCTTGACAAAGTGAGTAGTTATGATCAAGTGGAGGGCAACGAAAGCAACATTTTCTTTAACACTCGTGTAACAGAATAGGAGATGGACGTGTGGTAAAATTTCTCTGGTTGTTACATAAGGTAATTTATTGAGTTATCCAGTTAGGAAGTTAAGTTTCCTAGTGTCCCGTGGTTGATAGTATGACGAGATTTGGTACCTACAACCATTTTCCAGGTTGGTGGCCTCATTCAGCCATTGCTGCATCTACCTTAGGTCAGGCCTGTGTCATTGCTCTCAAAGACTGTTATATTGGCTTCTAAATTCTCTAGTTTCAATCAAGCCAGGGGAGGGTGAGGGCCCATCTCATCAACAAGGGTACCTGCATAATAAACATTTGTATACCTAACATCTTTAAAATAAAATTGTACCCCACATCTTTAAAATAAAAAATTTAAAAGTTAAAAAATAAAGCACTCTCCTAATAAACACACTGACCTATCAATTGTCCTGTTCTAGGGTAGTGGAAAGGCAGTTTAGAAAAGAGGATAGGTGAAATTAACATATAGTTTGAATTTTATCTCATATATAATCATATGAGTAGCAAAACCAGGGAAATTATGAAATATGGGGAAGACAGACTACTTTTCCAGAGCTAGGATAAGAACCAAGTCTAACTCTTAAGTCCTTGTTCCTTAAATACTGGCCTGGATTCAACCCCATGGCTTATTGTAGCTATAAGAGCTTTCATTACAAACGTCTCCATGAAGATGGTCACCTTTCTGTCTTGCCCAGAAACGCTAGGGTTTTTATGACCCTATCTTCATCCAGCAGGTAATTATTAGTAATGCCATGTTCTTTACAATAAGTAAATTATTCACATAATAAGGGAAAAGCTACTATTTTCTACTACAGAAGCCTTCATATGGGGTGGTAGGGAGAGGAAGGGAGGTGGGATTAACGGTAATCAATATCAATATCTGTCTGGGGATGGGGAGACACCCCTTATCAACAAGCGTGCCTGAACGATACATATTTGTATACCTAACCCTTAACTGTACCCCACAATTAAAAAATATATATATATGTTTATAAGCCGGGCTCAGTGGCTCAGCTTGTAATCCTGCACCTTTGGGAGGCTGAGGAGAGTGGATTGCCTGAGCCCGTGGGTTCGAGACCCGCCTGGGCAAGCGAGACCTCATCTCTACACTAAATTAAAAAAAAAAAAAAAAAAATTAGCCGGGTGTGGTAGCGCATGCCTGTAATTCTGGCTACTTGGAAGGCTGAGGCAGAAGGATCACCGGAGCCCAGCAGGTCGAGGCTGCGGTGGCTGAGAGCGGTCACTGCACTCCAGTCTGGGCGACAGAGTGAGACTCCAACTCAAAAAAAAAAAAAAAAAAAGTTTATTAAAAAAAAAAAACACATACTAAATAAATAAATAAATAAATAAATAAATAAATAAATAATGTGATTAGAATACACACTTCAGATACTTAATACATTCAGTAAGTTCTGTTTTCTGATTTGGTAACCTGATCACAAAAGGAAAGAAGTGCAGTGATTCCTATACTTCAAATAAAGAACCATTTAATCTCTTCCCCCAGTCAAGACATCTTTTGACTAAGTTTTAGGAGGGCAACACTTGAATGTTTAACCATCCAGGCCAGAAGAACAAATTTTTCAATCAATGAGAAGTAGAACCAGATTGCCCCTGTGAGTCCATCTTACACATCAACATTTTATACTATGTTTCAAATGTATTCCAAGAACTGAATGAAAATGAACTTTTAAAAACCATTTTGTCTGTCAATTTTGAGACATTATTTCTTCATCATAAAATGGAGATAATAATATGTAACTGAAGAGTTCATGAGAGAATTAAACAAGATAACACTGGTAAATAGCAAAGTTCCTAGCATATAGTGGACTTTGAATAGCAATTAGTGTCCCTTTCTGTTAGCAAATACTAGCTATTTTGGTGGCCTCTGCCTTTATTTCTATCCTATCAATCTCTGTCATCTCTGGGATACCTCTAATAAAAAAGAAATTATATAATTCAGCCTTTTTTCTAACTCATTTTTATCCGTCCTCATTTTATTCCCCATTCTCTGCTCCCCATACAAAGTAAAATTTGACTTATGCAAATGAATAGTCTGCCTTGATTTGGATCAATGTCTACTTGTATTCTGGAGAACCAACCATAAGTAAACACTTAACTAATTTGTTCCTCCAATGCATTTACTTTATAAGAAAGAATGCACAAATGTATTTCAAAATTATGTCATGGCTGTTTCTGAGTTCTCAAATAATAGAAACAGTAATGTCCTTAATATTGCATATTTTTAATTATTTTGCTTTATTTGTATAAAATTAAGCCTTGTTTTTTACTTCTTTGATTATTTTTATTTAGTGATCATAAAGACTTGTAGATATAAATTTTCCAAAGATAATTCATACTGAATTATCTTATGATCTGCATTGAAAGTTGGCACTTTAATTCTGTATGCTTGATTTATAACTACAGTGACTGATAAAACCAGTAGTTTTAGATAGATATGAATAGCTCTGCCCCAAAAACTTAAGCTTTGAGCTCAGCTCTGAACCTAATAGAAAGCTCAAAAACTGGTAAATCCTTTCCCAAAACTGGTTTTCTCTTTTGTTTTGTGGTACCTATTGAAATTAAGGACAGCAATGAGGGATACAGTCTATGTGGAATTTAACACAATCATATTTACTTATTTGCTTTCAACCTTTCATACTTTTCACTTTGGAACTCTATATTAAATTTATTTTAGAGTTGTGGCATACATGTGAGGATTTGCTACAAGGGAAATTTCCATGAAGGCAAAGTTTGGGCTTCTAGTGAAACTTGCCTCCCCCCACCCCAGTAGTGAATATGGTACCCAGTGGATGGTTGTGTGTTCCTTCTCTCTCCTCCCTCCCTCCTTTAGCAATACCCAATGTCTGTTGTTCCTACTTTTGTGCCCATACACCCAATGTGGTACTTATGAGTGAGAACATATGGTGTTCGGGTTTTTTTTTTTTTTTTTCCTGTGATAGTTTATTTAAAATGATAGTCTACAGCTGTATCCATGTTGCTGCTAAGATCATCTTTATGGCTGTGTAGTATTTTATCATGTATATGTACCACATTTCTTTTTAATCCAGTCCACTTTCCTTCTTTCTTTCTTTCTTTTTTTTTTTTTTGAGTTGGAGTCTCACTCTGTTGCCCAGACTGGAATGCAGTGGCATGCTCCAGGCCACCACAGCCTCGACCTGCTGAACTCTGGCGATCCTTCCGCCTCAGCCTTCCTAGTAGCCGGAACTACAGGTGCATGCTACCACACCCGGCTAGTTTTGGATTTATTGTAGAGATGAGATCTCGAACCTGCAGGCTCAGGCAATCCACTCACCTTGGCCTCCCAAAGTGCTGGGATTACAGGCTGAGCCACCGAGCCTGGCCAGTCCAATCACTTTCAATGGTCATCTGGGTTTGTTCCATGTTTTAGCTATTGTGAATAGTGCTGCAATGAATATACACACACAGGTGTTCTTTTTGTTTGTTTGTTTTAGAGAGAGATTTATGTTCCTTCAGGTATATTCCCAGGAGTGGGATTGTTGGGTTGAATGATAGCTCAATTTTTAGTTATTTGGGAAAACACCATACTGCTTTTTACATAGATTGAACTAGCTTACGTTCCCACCAACAGTATGGAAGCATTCCCTTTATTCCACAGCCTCACCAATACCTGTTGTTTTTTGACTCTTTAGTGATAGCCATACTGACTGATGTTAGTTAGTATCTCATTGTAGTTTTGATTTGCATTTCTCTCCATCTCCCTTCTTTTTTTTTTTTTTTTTTTTGTT